ATCTAACTATATTTATTTATTAAATAATAAAATATCCCTACCTCATTTATTCCTATTTTTGTTTATTACGTGATTTTTTATAAGTAAGACATGCAAATAAATATTCGCACTTACCTTTATTTCCTTTAGTAATTNACATGCAAATAAATATTCGCACTTACCTTTATTTCCTTTAGTAATTGATTGAGTTGGTTTTATGGTGATTTCTTCTTTCAGTGTTAACTGTCGTTTATACTGTTTGCGTTTATTTCGATAAATTAGTATCTCTGTGTATATAAGACTTAGAAAAAGGATTCTCTATGATGGGACCTGCGTCTATTATAATTTGTTACCCCTGTTTTTATTTGTTTTCTTTAAATTCCTATTATACTATACTATGTTTTTACTAATAATATTTGCGATGAATTCCCTACAGTCGATATCGATATTCTTAAAATTTACTCTGAACTAGTCAAAATATAATTATAAGAATATGTCTATCTATATTCAAAATATAATTAACAAGACTGTGGTGGCCCAGCGTTTCTCAGCGTAAAGCCTTGGCTGGCGCGGACACAGTTACCTCGCTAATATATTTTAAATATTATTTCAATACATCTTCTACTATCCTTTACGTCAACTGCCTACACGTTACCGAAAGGTAATTGGCATAGTCCTTTATGGCTGGCGGGTACACACGCAGAGAATATTTCCAAGATGTAGTTTCCTATCTTACGGACTATATATTTTATGATGAACTCTACCCGGACTACTAGCTCTAGAACTGGCTTGTCGACGGATATAGCGCACTTCAAAAATACTCTTTTTATAAGGTTAGTACTACTCTGTACCTCAACTGCCTACACGTTACCGAAAGGTAATTGGCATAGTCCTTTAAGGCTGGCGGGTACACAGGCATAAAGTACTACTACTAAAACTAGTTAATTCTAATCACAAATTATGCTTCTCCATTTAGTTCGGCACATTTAAGGCTGTTCATAAATGTAGGGCACAATAAGCTTTATTATGAATATACGATAATGTATAAGGCTATTATGCCTGTATAAATAAAATTACGCTTCTTCACTCT